GTCCGACAGGTAAGGTGGGTAACACTGCACACACAGCGGTCAGGACTGAAGTAGTAACTGAGCTCACTCAGCACAGAAATCACAGTCCCTGACACAGCGTTTATGTCTAGACAGTCGCCACAGTAAAAACAAAGCCAGTTCTTGGATAAAAATTGGTTGTGATCAGGAACGAATAAAAGTCCTGGGGTAAGAAGCAGCCGTCTTGTCGATTTCTGCTTGCTAGCAGAAGCCACTTAAGTCCCTTTCCCTGTTCTGAAAACTCTTGTCACACAGGTAAGAGCTTGCTTTTCTAAGGAAATTGTACGGGGCAAGACTATGGAGAGAATGAAGCTAATCCTTATATATATACATATATATATATACACATATGCCTGCCTCCACATTTCACACTGTATTTACAAATGTTTCTCCTATGGCTAGGAAAACTGCCATCAAACTTACTCTGAGATTTTTGGACTCCGTGCGTCAGGAACTGCCCCTTCCACTCTATCTCCACCGAGGGAACCTTATGCTGGACAGGCCAGCACTAATGATAGGAGAACATCTCCTCCATCCGCCACCTGGACCAACTGCTCATGGTGACTTTCCATCAGTCACAAACACATCTGTTAATTAGATGGTGACTGTCAACATCTCCCAGAGGCACCAAGAACACCTCACTTTGGGGTCCCCTATCAACGATCTAGCCTATAAGAAAAAGATATTCCTGCTTTAGAAAACACTGGGGGCCCTGACACACATTTCTATTGCCTTGTTTATGGCTAACTTCCAACCCAGATAGCTCAGTACCCCCCTTCTTTGCTGAAGTGGGGCATGGTAGGTTGATGGAAGAATTACAGACAAGTGGAAAATTCTAATCTGTCGAGGTAACACTGTCTGCATGTCACTGAACCTTCGGAGCTATATATTTTTTAAGATGATGTAAATTGAATTCTCTTTATGATTATTAAAGAAACTAACAGAAGGAGGGGTGCCTGGGTGGCTCAGTTGGTTCAGCGTCTGCCTTCAGCTCAGGTCATGATCCCAGGATCCTGGGATCGAGCCCCGCATTGGGCTCCCTGCTCAGTATGGAGTCTGCTTCTGCCTCTCCCTCTGCTCCTCCCCCAGATCATTCTCGCTCTCTCTCTCTAATAAACAAAAAAATATATATTTAAAAAAGAAAGAAAGAAAGAAAATTAACAGAAGGAGAGTTGAAGTTTCAGGACAAGGCCCAAATCTGACTCTTTGTGCTAGGTAAAAAGAGTTCCCTGGAAGGATTCACCAGGACTCATCTGGCATAAATGGATAGAATAGGTCTAGACATCTTATTTCCATTTATAAATGAATCCCTTCAAGGATTATCCTTGAGAGAAACTGGAAAGAGCAGGTTCAAACCCAGCTGCACGACCTTGGGAGAGCTAACTGACCCGTGGAGCCCCAGATATTTCATCTGTAAGCCTTGGAGAATGACAGACTCAGAGCATTGTTTTAGTCATTATGTGAGATAAGGTACTTGAAAATACTGCATAGTATACAGCACATAATAGGTGTTAAATAAGTAGGTCTCACACCCCAGAATGCAGAGCTAAGGATGGATGCCCCAAACCAAGGCGATGTTTAAAAGAACATTTCCTTCTGGGACAATAAAGGCTCGGGGGTCATTTCATTTCAAAAAGAGAGGCTTGTATGCTTGGGGCGGTGGGTGGGGGTGGCAGGGGCTGAGCAGAGGAAGCTGAAAACTCTCTCTCAGAAGGGGATGGGATTTAAGACAGGAGAGTTTTTGGAAGGTGGGCTCCCCTCTGACATATGCAGAAGCCTTCTGCCAGAATAGAGAAGAGCTTATTCCCTTAGCATGGGAGAACTTCGAGAACAACCATAAAGAGACAATCTGGTGGGGTGCTGCAGAGATAAAAACATCAAAAGAGGGAGAGGACGTTAAATTAGTTGCTCACTTAAACCCTATTCAGCCCTGAAATTCAATGTCAACAAATGTCCACATCTAGTCCCATAGTTCAGTCCCAGAATAAGAAGAGAAAGAAAAAGGGGAGGGGGAGAGAGGAAGAAGAAAATTAAACTAGGTTACAGGAAATTTTATACCTAATGTAATTTATAGCATTTGCATTTTAATCACTTCTTCTTATAAATGTCCAAAGTCACCACAATAGCATTAACAGACATATAAACCGTTATTCCTCTTTCAAGAGTTGTTACTGAAATATACATGTTGATTTAGGTCTAATTCTTAGTATGTTTCATAATAAATTTATAAACATGATTCTCTACATAATAAAAAAAATAATACCCCAGCAAAAATTAAATCTCACTTAAAAATTCACAAAGTTCTTAGGGGTGCCTGGGTGGCTCAGTCATTGAGCGTCTGCCTTCAGCTCAGGTCACAATCCCACGGTCCTGGGATCGAGCCCCGCATCGGGCTCCCTGCTCCGCGGGAAGCCTGCTTCTCCTTCTCCCGCTCCCCCTGCTTGTGTTCCCTCTCTCGCTGTGTCTCTCTCTCTGTCAAATAAATAAAATCTTAAAAAAAAAAAATTCACAAAGTTCTAAGAGGGGTGCCTGGCTGGCTCAGTTGGTGGAGCATGCGACTCTTGATCTTGGGGTCATGAGTTTGAGCCCCATGTTGGGTATAGATTAGTTTAAAAAAATGTTTTCCAGGGCCCATTGGTGATGGTTAAAAGATGAATAAAGATTTTTTTTTTAATTCAAAAAGCTTCGGGATTACATATCCAAAGGGAAATAGCACTTTTCTTCTGTCCAACTAACTTTCTCATTTTTCTCCATTGCCATATTTTGATGGCTGAGTTTACAGTGAAGGGCATTTGTGTCATTAGAGGGACTCAAGCAGACTCCCCACAGAGTGCAGAGCCCAAGTGGGGTTTATTCCCACGACCCTCAGATCGTGACCTGAACCAAAATCAAGAGTCGGATGCTTAACCAACTGAGCCACCCCCAGTCGCCCCTTAAAAATTTTTCTTTTACATTTTACACATCAGGATTCTGGGTTCATCTTCCTTTGAATATAGAACTGCATGGCAAAACAGAAACAAAAACAGTTTTTAAACCACTATAGAATGTGTATTGTGGGGTATAGTGCATAATAGAAAGAAGAAAAAAATATGGCCTTCATTTGAAATATTTAGATTGAGGACTGATGCATTAGTTAGAGCAATGCCAACATGAAATTTCATAGAAAACCCCAAAAACTATGCCAAATGAAAAAAAGTTTGTGAAATACGTATTAGTGTAAAGAAGGACTATTTTATATGTAAACGTATTTGTTCAGAAATTATTTCCTAAGTACCTACTACCTGCTTGTCTCTAGGCTAGGAACAGCATATATGACCTTTTTGGTAATAAAAAAAGTCAGTGAGTCATTTTGAAGGTTCGTAAAGGCAGGAGAGAGGATGAAAGGCAGTAACATGCACAGACTCTGTGGGGACACAGCTATAAACTCGGCTGTGTCGCAGTTTTCAGAGAGGGAGCCTCCAGCTGGAGACCTGAATGCCACCCACCGAAACACTGAGTTAGGGGGCAAATTTTAACTGCTCTGTGCTCCAGGTCCCCAAAGAACACCTAATCATGACTTCCTTTCGGTATAAAGATAACAGAGCTATCAATCCGAGAAAGTCTTGGAATTAAAGCCTTCTGATGATGAATTAAGACAAGGTAGTTTTAATTTTTTGTCGAAGAATAACACATATGCAGAAATGTGGACTTGAGATGATCAGCGCCCAGATCAAGAGATGGAGCATCACGAAGCCCTCTCTGGCCCCTGGGGGTCACTACCCACCCCGAGGATACTGGTATAGTGGCACAGATTGGCTCCTAACAGCATGGATCACTTTGCTTTGCATGCAAGGTATACTTTTTTGGGTCTGGCTTCTTTAGCTCAACGTTGTATGGTGAGACCCAGCCACACAGTTGGATGTAGTTATACACCACACGTTCTCAGTGCTATGCAACGCTCCACTGTGTGAAGATGTCACAATGGATGCCACATTCTGCTCCTCAGATACTCGAGTCATTTTATATATAGCCCTTTAGCCACAGAAAAGACCAGAGATTTTCTCTTATCCAGAAGAAAAGATCCACAGATGAAATTCACCATCTCCTTTCTACTTGAAATTGGTCTGATCAAAAGAATTTTGGTGGGTGCCCGGGAGGCTCAGTGGGTTAAGTGTCTGCCTTCAGCTCAGGTCATGATCCCAAAGTCCCGGGATTGAGCCCCACGTCGGGCTCGCTGCTCAGCGGGGAGTGTGCGTCTCCCTCTCCCTCTGCCACTCTGCACCTCCTCCCCCTGCTCGTGCTCTCTCTCTCTCTCGCTCAAATAAACAAATAAAATATTTTTTAAAAGGAATTTTTGGTTTTCTTTCCATGTCAGGACTAGAGATGCTCAAACTACAAATTAAGTATTAACAATTTTAACTAGGAGTTAGAGAAAGGAGAAGGGGGTTATTATCTTGGCAGGTGACTTTAGTGGACTCTTCCTAATTCCAAAGGAAACTGATGGTGACCATTTATCAAATGAGGCAGTGTGTCTAGGACTTCTTAGAGGAAGAGCATCCCGCACCCAGAGAGTTGCCAGGCAATGTATGGTGGTGACTGAGGAACGGAGTGGATGGTGGGTGGGAGGGGAGACAGCACCCAAACAGGATACAAAATAAGGGCACCTGAAATCACCACTTTACAAAATAAAATTATATTTATCACAGAATAACACAATTTCTTATTCATACATCCCACCTGTGACATTAATCAGAGCCGTCACCTATGGGCCATATGTCATCTTTTCCACCCTTACTAGTTTATAGATTTTTTTTTTTTTTTTTTTTGCTTTGAAGTGTTAGAAGAAGAAAAAGAACCAGAGCTGCCCTAAAAGGAATGAGGAAGTGAGAGCTCCCCACAGTGTCTGGCTAGCTGTGTCTGGGTGACAACCCATGATGTTCTTTCCGGTCTCAGTAATATTCTGAATTTCCACCTGCCCGCCCCTTCTTGTTTATAATGCAGAACACGTGAAGTTAGAGCAGTTCAGTCTTCCTCTCTCTATCGGTGGATTAGTAAGCGCAGAGTGTTATGCTGTCTCTCCCATTTTGCACCGTTCCCCGGAGATAAGAGAACTCTGGCTGGAGGCCCTCCGAGGGTGAGTACCATAAATTAACACAACTGGAAAATTAGCTAGCTGGCAAATCACTGGTCTTTGAGTGCACCTCCAACAGAAAACAGCTGTACCCCAAAACATGCAGCAAATAATGTTAAAGACGCTGAGTACTGAAAGCTTTCCTTCAGTGTGAAGCCTGCACTCTTTTGGTGTAGGAATTCTGTCAACGTTAACTTTGTTTTATGTTTACTGCAAGTAGCATCCTGGGAATAAGTTTTTTCCTCTGGGGGTTAGAGGAGCTAATCCATGCAGAGCACATAATACAGTACCTGACAACGTGAGCTCCTCCCCCCCAAAAACGTTAGTTATCATATGATTGTTAGATTATCTCTTGATGGGAATGGAATAAATGAATAACAGAGTTTGGCATGGTAAAGATATCAGGTTTAAAAATTTTAGAAATAAGTGTGTTCAGGTGCGTCCTTAATAGCCGAAGACACCTGGAAACATATCACAGACTTCAAATGAAAACTTTTCTATCTAATAGTTTCAGATTTTGTGTTTTGGCACCGAAATTGGCCAACTTATCATGTGTCTCCCTCCTCACTCTCTCCCACATGATTTCTCACAGGCAGGGCTAAGGCCACACGGGAGCCAAATTCATCCCTGGACAGTCAGCCCAAAATCTAATGAAGTTGATAAGCAACTGCAATGCTGTACGTACCCCTCTTATATTTCTTAATTCATATTTTCCAGAGGTAATAGTCAAACGATCTTTACCTAATTTAATTTTTTCTCTTTCAGTCAAAAACACTAAGTGCCAATAATATGGAGACATTGATCGAATGTCAGTCAGAGGTAAGAGGGCAATTTTTAAAACTTTTCATCTGCACTGTGAGAACATGGAAAACTTTCTGTTTTTATGGAGTATTGTTTGGATTGTATAATTATCAGAGTAGAAAATTAACATCCTAAATGTAGTTAATTAAATACATTAATTGGGACCTTATATGATGACAATCAAGACTTTATTACTGATTCTAGAAGCTAGAAAAAGATCATTGGACTTTACTGACTAATTTTTAATATGAATAAAATGTTGTCCATGTATTTTGTGGGGAAAGACTGGGTAGATCTCTTCAGTCATTTTTAACGAAAATAAATATATTTTTAGGACAATATCAAGGAACATCCTCTGTTGGCATCATGTGAGAGTGAAGATAATATTTGCCAGCTAATTGGTGAGTTTTGAAAACATACTGGTCTTTTATGTAAGTGCTAACAACAAATGTTCTTGGTTTGCAAAACCACAGTCCTTACCCTACTAGGAATTTCTTTTTTTAAGTGTTCTTCTAAAGACCGCAGAACATTAACACTTAAATGGCCAGCAGACTCCAGCTCAGGAGAGCATCAGAGCACTCTGACAGGAAAGATCCTTCCTACAGCCAAGCCCCCAGCTTTCCGGGGAGTTTTTAGTGGGGTCAGATCTCCTAGCCACTTCTGTTTTGACAATTAAAGCAGGCATACATATAAAAAGCAGAGAGTTCCTTTTCCCTTTTCTTCCTTCTCTAATGAAGAATGAATGTAAGAATCCATGAAGCAATTGGTGCTGATCTCCAAGTCCCAGGAACCCACCACTCACTCTTCAACTGTTTTCGTAATGTGTTTTGTATTACATAACCGCGACCCAGTTCTCCTGAACTGTAAGGGACAAGCCCCTTCTCCAGCCATCCTCTCCCACTCGCCAGAGTGGAAACCTACTGCAGTGCATTAGAAAATAGAGCTTTTGTATGTAGGGGAGAAGAAGAAGAGAAGGAAAAGGGGAGAATAGAAAGAAAGAAATGCGTGAGATGCGATATCCATTGCACACACGTCTTCAGGATTTTGCAAAGATAGAACATCTCACTAATGTTTTCGTGATAATTCCCAATTTCCTGGTCTAGGTTCAAGCCTAACTGAAGCAGTTTGTGCCAGCCCTTGTCCTCAAGCAACCCCCACCCGGGGGCGGGGGGGGGGGAGGGTGGGGCCGCGGGAGGAATCCTTAAGGGAACTGCAGACTGTTGTAGCTCCCTCTAGTGGCTAGTTGGTGCTAGCGTGGCTGCAGAGGTGTACTGGCCTGCCCCGCTAAGGGCGTTCAAAATGATCTTGAGCAAGATTCCAATCTTTTTTATGGCTCAGTAATATTCCGCCATATTTATAGACCACGTCTTCTTTATTCAGTCATCTATCAGTGGACTCTTTGGTTGCTTCCATTTCTTGGCTATTGTAAATAATGCTGCAATAAACATAGTGGTGCACATAATCTTGTTGAATCAATGTTTTCTTTTTCTTTGGGTAAAACCTAGTTTAATGACTGGATCATATGGTATTTCTGTTTTAATTTTTTGAGGAAACTCCATATTGTCTCCCACTGTGACTGAAACTAATGTAAGATTCTATGTCAACTAAACTTCAGTTTAAAAAAAGATCTTGAGCAAGTCACTTCCTCTCCTTTTAAGTTTTGTTTCCTCTGCCAGTCAAAGGAGAAAATTAAAATAATCTATTTCGCATCAGAAAAACCCACCATAGTTATTAAGGTCAATATATGAAGATGGTTGTTTGTGATCTGCTCGGCTAGTTTTGCTGATTTTCTGTAGCAAACAGTCAGTGAAGAGTAAAAACAGGAAAGGTGGAGACTTTGAGGAACCTGGGTGTTGATATTTAGGGGCCGGTTGCTCTGGTGACCATGTGTTTGCTTTTCGGGTTCATTTTTCTAGATTAAAATTCATGCCCTTTGCTTTCTCAGTTTTTCAAAATTATTCCCCACCCCGACCCCCATGGCATACCATAGATGACATTATGTGGCTGACAATATCCATGGTCTTATATGGATCTTTATTAATTATTTTAATAATTTTTTAATAATTTAACAATTATGAATCTAATTTTTCTCTTTGCCTTGTTTTCCTGGCTATAGAAATTAAGAAAAGAAAGAAGGTGCTGTCCTGGCCCTTTCTCATGAGAAGGCTTTCTGCTGTGTCAGATTTTTCTGGGGTTTCAGAACCTGAATTAAAAACATCACTATTTGATCAGCCCTTGTCAATCATCTGTGGTGAGGATGACACACTCCCCAGACCCATTCAGGTAGGTGCATGTACTCGCAAATCTACTTCAGGTTTTTGTCAGATGTGAAAAATCCTTGGGAGCTCTAAATATCATTCTCATGCTAAATTTGCTGGGGCCAATCTTTAGGTTTTTCCACTTTTGGAAATGGTGTTTCCACATATGAGTGCAGTCAGGAGACTATCTAACTGCTTACATTCTAGAAATCCATCCCTCCAATCCTCCTGATTTTGTCGAGTTAAGAATGCTAAAAGATGTGTAGCTTCTGAGAAGTCAATGGATAGAGATGGGGTATAAAGTATATGATCAGAAATCCAGTGTTTATATAGAATGACTTGAAGGGAGAGAGACCGGAAATAACTTTAGAACATACAAAATTAGAGCATTCACAACTTACCTCCTCTTAGAAAAATAGCAGAGTGGAGGGAGGAGGTCAATAGCAACGGGGCTGTGAAAACCTGGCAGGCATGGTCTCTTGTAAAGACCATGTTGGTATTCAGAGACCTATCTTTTATGGAGAGGATTATCTATGACAGGTGAGGTTTGCTACTGTTCACATGCACTGTTCACATGCACTGTTTTAATACCTAAACATCGATTCTTCATGTAGTAGTAGCCTCATATGGTTTCATGTATTCAAAGTAAGGGTAACCTTTTCCTATACCTACATCTCTTTCCTACAGGATATTCTCACTATTCTGTGCCTTAAAGGACCTTCCACAGAAGGGATCTTCAGGAAAGCAGCCAACGAGAAAGCCCGCAAAGAGCTCAAGGAGGAGCTCAACTCGGGAGGCGTGGTAGATCTGAAAAGTCTCCCTGTGCACCTTCTGGCTGTGGTCTTTAAGGTGAGGTCACAGCATTGCCACCAATAATCTGCCAGTGGGCTCGGAAACTTTGTCTCCGGGAATAAGAAACAGGCCCTTCTCCCTAAAAATCAAAGTAAACTGATCTTGGAGTTTAAGTTTTTTAGTGAAGCCTTTTATTTTCTTATATCAACATCTCTGTGTCTACAATCTCAGATTCCAACAGAAAATGATACAGTACATTCTCCTCAAATTCTTATGAGAAAAGGCCAAGTCCATGCTCCTGAAGCTGGGAGCCCCTCAGAGGATGGCCTTACCCTGTCCATTGTCAGGAAATTGCTACGAGAGATTTCCCTAAGAGTGTTCAAATGCAGGAAGGAAGGGGGCGCGCAGCCTGTGGTAGGATGATCAGAGGGTCCCTGGGCTGGACCAGACAAGGGGAAGATGAAGACGCCAGCGCATGATGTTACCTAACCGGGCCCAACCATCCCCCTTTCACCCTTCAGGACTTCCTCAGAAGTATCCCACAGAAGCTACTTTCATGTGACCTGTTTGAGGAATGGATGGACGCGCTAGAGAGGCAGAATGAGGAGGACAGAACTGAGGCCCTGAAACAGTAAGTGGCCAGAGTCCAGGCCCACACAGTCTCCATCTTCTGATTCTTCACACAGTTCTCTGAGTGTTTCAGGAACATTGACGTGTTTAGGGAATCAGAGTGGAATTATATATCTACTCCCAGAATAAAAACCACGAGGTACCCTGGACATTCCTCTTAAAGTAGTTTTAGCCAAAGGAAAGGAAGCGCTTTTTCAAAGAGTAGAAAGTGAACTTCAATATTCACAAACCCCAAGAGATGGAAGAGTCTAAAACATAAGTAGTTCCAGAAGGTATGAGAAAAAACCATAGATGGAAGCCTCAAAACAGGCTAGGTGGCCAAGTGTAGGAATGTGGGGTTATCCTTAACCTAATAGATTTGTGTCAGGCAAGGCAAAAATTCCCGCATAAAACATCCCTTAAAGCACAGGAGAACAATCCGGAAGGGATTGTTTTGATCATAAAATTCCACAGCATATTTCATATTCTTCTTCTTTTTTTTTAAAGATTTCATAGTCTTCTAATTAACCAAACTGAAAACTCTATAAAAACAAATTTCAAAGACAACAAAAACGATTACATTTGTAAATGAAACTGTAACCTGTTAGCAACTAGACGATCTCAAACCCCTAATTTCAAAATATCAGCACTTTTGCCAAATGCTATGAAAGTCTGTCTCTTTGTTATGATTGTCCCATGCGGCTAAATATTTCTAGTGAAAAAGTTATTGAATTGAAGGCATTAGAGTATCTGTCCCAAGTTGAAAAGCCTAAGATTACCACAAGTTTCTCCTTAAAGACACTAAGCTCTTCCATAATAGTAACTTCTTATGAGAAGTGAAAACAGTCCCTATCTTAGAGTCGCCATTGCATATTTTGAAAAAGTGAGGCTTTACACATCTCATTTATTATCATTTGTACCAATGTTCCCGTTTAAGTGCTGACCTGACCATATTTACAAACATGCCCTTAGAAACTGATTTCTTCTCCATAAAGATGTCTCGGAATGGCATAAAAATGGGTCATCTTTGTGTGATGATCACAGATCAAGAAAGGCAAATGATCGTGCTCCCAAAATACCAGTCTTGCAGTGTTAGAAAGACATTCTGCCTGGCCACACGATTGTTCTACAAAGCAGTTTTCAAAATGTATTCGACTATGGAGTTTGTTGCAGAAGTTAAGGATTCCCAATGTAAGATCTATACAAATAATAAAGGGCTATGTTATTGGTGTCCTAATTATAAAGAACCAGTGTCTTAGGTCTTGAAGATCTCGTGGTTAACCAGTTTCATGCCACATCAGTTGCCACTGGAAGTGTCTGAATGAACATTTCACAATCTTACTGGTGAAAATGTACCTTCCTCATTTTGAAGGAAGTCTGGGTTAGGCAGAAATTTTCAACTTGCTACACTAAAACTGAGATAGGACATTAATCCTCTAAAACCAGCTTTCCTGAACCTCATTCCAGGGTTGCAGATAAGCTCCCCCGGCCCAACCTCCTGCTGCTCAAGCACCTGATCTCCGTGCTCTACCTGATCAGCAAGAACTCTGAGATCAATAAGATGGACGCCAGCAATCTAGCTATCTGCGTCGGACCCAACATGCTGACCCGAGAGAATGACCAATACCTGTCTTTCGAAGCCCAGAAAGACTTGAACAACAAGGTTTGTTCCAGTCTCTGTCTGAGAAACTCCCAGTGTATGATCTCACCATTTGTTCGAAAAAGCCAAGTGATAAAATGCCTCTGAGTCTCTCTGGCTGACTCAAGCTCACAGTGAAATATGAGATGCAAAATGCTTTTGTCATAGTTCTGCTCTCTTAGATTTATTCATTTAATGAAACGGAACAATCCTGTCTCGTAGCATTTCAAAGGTGTCCTTTGTTAAGACTAAGTCTCACTGTCTCCTAGGATAGAAAAGCCCCTTTGTTTGGTTGGGTTTTTTTTCATTTGTGCATTGCACACTGTCAGTCCAACTCTCAGTTTGGGAAACTCCTTACTTAAGTGAAAATTTTAGTTAGAGGGTTTTTTTATAATTCTCAAAAAATGCATGTCTCAAAAATAATATATATGGATTTTTCCATATATATATGATTTTTACCAATTTTCTGTATGTTCTTTTCAAAAACATAAAGATCTCATACGCTCATTTTGGCACCTCCCTAACAGTGGACCCTCATTATATCCCCATTCCTTCCCCTCTTCCCTTAAAAGAATGAAAGATGTCTTTAGGGTGACAAGTTGCTTCTTTTTCCTCACAGGTTAAAACATTGGTGGAATTCCTCATCGATAACTGCTTGGAAATATTTGGGGAGAACATTCCGGCACATTCCAGTACTGCTTCTGATGACTCCCTGGAACACACTGACAGTTCAGGTACCAAATGTGTTGTTGACTGATTATGATTGTGGGGGGATGTCCTTTCCAGTCTGCCGGTCCATGCCAGTAACGTAAAGTATCTCTGGCATTTGAAGCACAAGTTACCTGCACAAGTCACCAAATCAAATTCGTAGGATGCCATTAACATGGAAACTTGCTCTCAAATTTTCCTGCAGCCTCCTCATTCAGCTGACACTCCTTCAGCTTCTTTCTGAATCATAAAGAATTGCTAATTTTACTAAGTTACCTTTAGCTAGAGGGTTGTTTCCACATAATGGGATATGGGTCCATTAAAATGGAATGGATCCAATCAAAGAGCCATCCAAAGGATGAATTTTTAAATTTAAGATCCACAAATGTTCAATGAAATGTTTTGTCTCTTTTCTCATTCTCATTCCCTCACTCGTATTTCCTTTTCCTACTTCTCTTCTGCACCTCAAACTAGGAAAGAAACAAAATTTTAATGTGACAGATTTCTCTCGTATCAAGTCCCAGAGTAGCTTCACCAGCTTACCTAGCGCCATACTTGATACAAGTAGGGTGAAAGGTACTAAAGTTTATTTCTCAAAGAAACTGACCCAGAAACTCAACTGTCCCTTAACTTCCTCCAGACATGTCAACACTGCAGAATGACTCAGCCTATGACAGCAATGATCCTGACATGGAATCCAGTGGTGCCATCAGATGCCCAAACAGGCAGCCCCAGGTGCCCTTGGAGATGGCTGCCGGCTGGGAGCCCAGAGGCCTGCAGCTCACTTGGGAGTTGAGCCCAGAGCCCATTGTCAGCACCGTAGCCAGGCTGAAAAACTCCCTCAGGGAACCAGACAGGAGCTACTCAGAGCCCAGCATGTCATCCTCACAGGAGAGCCTCGAGAGCCAGAAAACTCACCAAAAACTAACACGAAGTGAGGATGACTTCACCATGGCCCGGGCAGGGGCTTGTTTGGAAGGTGAGGAAGCTGAAGACCCATTTCCAGAGGAGGTGTTTCCTGCAGTTGAAGGCAAAACTCAGAGGCCACAGGACCTGAAGGTGAAGAACTCGACTCAGGGTTTGGGGTTACTGTGGGGACTGGCGCCCAAAGCCTCCTCCAGTGGCTCTCTGGATGCTTCCTCTGACAGCTCCCCTGTGGCTTCTCCTTCCAGTCCCAAAAGAAATTTCTTCACCAGACATCAGTCTTTCACAAAGGCAGAGAAAAGTAAGCCCAACAGAGAGATTAAAAAACATTCCATGTCATTCTCTTTTGCCTCTCACAAAAGAGTGTTGACCAAAACCCCCAGCTGTGTGTCTGTGAAATCCAAAGGCTTTACAAGAGACCAAGTAAAGAAAGGCTTTAAAAAAGAAAGCCAGCTTGCTGGGCGAATCATCCAAGAGAACTTGTCTGAAATCCAGGGCCAAACAGCTCTAGACTTTAGCTCCAGATCCTATGCCCTCTCAGTCGAGGATGTGTTCCAGCAAGTGGATCAGAGAAGCCCTGGGAGTCCACCATCTTATGAAGAGGCCATTCGGTGCCAGGCATTGGACCTCTTGGCCTACGGGGGCCAAACAGTTGGCAGCATGAGGGCTAGAATGCTCAGCTGGGACACTCAACTACCACCTCTCCTACCTTTTCACCACGGAGGGAATTCAAGAGATATATGCAGTCAAGAGCCACTTGACGGGCACAGACTATCTCCCAGGACTGAGAGTTGGAAACAGAGCAGGACTGTCCATGCTTCTGTTGAAACGATAGGACAAGTGACTATCACAGGGAGACCAGAGCTGCACCGGCTAAGAACTATATCTGAGTCAAATCAGAAGACTAAGCTGGACCACTTAGTGCGGCGATGTAGTCAGCCGGTCTTTGAGGCTGACCAACTCCAGTATGCTAAAGAATCCTACATTTAGGAAGGCAGACCAGACACCATGACATGGCTTGTGGTATCTCTGTAAATGCATGACTGTATGAAGAACTGCTTTAGACTCTGTTTTCAAAAAAGTCGAGAATAAGCTCCTTTAGAGAAGCTCTGTAGAGCCCTCCTCAGTGGGGCTAGCTATGCAAGGGCACTCAGGTAGTGTCTGTGTATGCCTGAATTTGTGCAACATGTAGCAAGTGTATAAGATGTACTGAAGATAAGGTGTTAAGTGCAAAGATGTCTACATGGGTATGTGTATATTTGTTTGTGAACTTGTGGTCAATGGCACTGCTGTTCTCTGCCTCCTGGGGCACTTTTCTATTGGTTAGTGTTCAAAAATAATTTTTCTTCTATTTTTTTGTTGCCTCCAATATCATGCCATTTTTCATATTTTCCACAAACTCCATTTAGGGGAAAACATTTAAATCTATTAGAAGTTTACTCCAGTAGGCAGCTTTGTGATAACTACTCACAAGAAAAAGGAGCAGACTGCAAGGAATAGACTTCAGTGTTTGGAGTTATCAAAGGCATTACAAACTCCAGGAAATGAAAAAGCCATCATTAAAATTTATGAAAAATACTTAAATGTGTCCTTTAAATCATCTCATTTTCAATTTGGATAGATGAGTAAAAATGCAATACATCAATATTATCTGATTTATAGCACTTTGAGTTTCTTTGTGACTCAGTTTTGTCTTCTCCAACAGTGTGCAGGAAATTACTTTAAATGCATTGGGGATCATATATAGAATTTCAATGTAATCTCACTACAGTAAATTGCCTTCCTTATTTCAAAGTAAAAATGTTTATTCTTTACTGATATGTTGCCTTCTCTCTCTTGATTCTATAGAAACCCAAGAAAAGCACTCACACATTGGTTCATTCAACAACATTTATTAAATATATATTCATTACTCTAGATTAATAGGCAGGCTGGGATCTTGTCTTTAGAAAGAAAAGACAAATCCAGTTCTCCAGTGGTTTGCAAATTCATAAAAAGTACCTACTTGAAGCCATTTTTTCAATAGTAACTCAGAGGCCAGAAAATTCAGCATGCAGGGGGTGCCTGGGTGGCTCAGTCAGTTAAGCATCTGCCTTCAGCTCAGGTCATGATCCCAAGGTCCTGAGATGGAGCCCCGCCTCAGGCTCCCTGCTCAGCGGAGAGTCTGCTTCTCCCTCTCTCTCTGCCCCTCCCCCCACCTCTCGTGCTCGCACTCTCTCTCTCTCTCTCTCTGTCTCTCAAATAAATAAATGAAATCTTAAAAAAAAAAGATGGTAAAAAAATTTAGTATGCAAATACAGGGTAATATAATATTTCCTGTTACTGAATTAAACTCTTCAGTACCTTTACAAACCTTATTTTTATGATGCTCAGGTTGCTTATTCACAAACATAATGGTAAAATATCTGTCATATGTTAGAACTGTAATGCTCAATGATTAAGATATTTACCTAGTACCTTGGAGATACTAGATTTCTATTTTCCTTATTTTATCAACCTCTTTCATAAAACACTGTGTTTTTGATTTATTCAAGAAATATTTTTGCATTGGACAACCACCAGATGGTGAAGGTCTATTATTCTTTTCAAAGGAGATTTATTGATAATGTGGTAAAAAGTTAAAAATGTAACCCAGATTGCTCAAGGCAACATGCTCAGACCACAAAATGTCATTAGAAATACTTTATTAGGCACACCAAAAGTGTACAGATTTCAAGGGATAGACACTCCCCTCTGACTGCTAACTTCAAAAAAGCAATCCTTTTCCAGAGTTGGACACGAATAGTAATAGTTATAATTGTTACCATCTATTGTGTGCCAAGCACTGTTTTATTTCAGAACTAAAACAAGCATAGCAACTTCCTATTGAGAATCAGAATTCTCATCAATAAATAAGACTTGGAAGCCTCCAATCTATTCCACTTTACCACACTGATCTGACCTCTGTGTGACCAAACTCAGATCACAAAAAATCTGTCCTAAATTTCCTTATTTTAAAAAAAGCAGGTATGAGACTGAAGTCTTCTACCTATTCCAAGTAAGTAGTACAATTGCTGGCAAACATTTATGAGCGTCTTGCAGTCAAGCAAATGTCATTAATACTCCTGTCTTTGAACAGTGGAGGAATAGGTGTGGTGACTACTTCAAATATTGCAGAGTGGTCTTCCCACATCTATCCATGGTTTTTAGGATTGCCCAGCCTGCTGACCAAGCCCATCAGTTGGCTAGGGCTACCATAACAAAATATCACAAACAAGTAACTTAAAGTATAGAAATGTATTGTCTCACAGTGCTGGAGGCTAGAACTGAAATCAAGGTATCATCAGGTTGGTTCCTTATGAGGGCTGCAAGGAAAGGATCTGTTCCAGGCTCCTCTCCTTGCTCGAACACAGCTATCACTCTGGGTATCTACATTGTCTTCCCTCTATGTATATCTATCCCCAAAGTTCCCTTTCTTGAGGGACACCACCAGTCATATTGGATTAGGGTTCTAGTGATCCATTTTACCTCTTCATAGCCATATTCTGACATACTATGAGTTAGGACTTCAACAAATGAATGGAGGGTGGGAAAGGACACAGTTCAACCCTTACACTAAGTTTCACAGACTAGTACTTCATGAGACCTTCATTATGCCAACAATTTTTTTTTTTAGATTTTATTTATTTATTTGAGAGAGCGAGAATGAGAGACGGAGGGAGAGCACATGAGATGGGGGGAGGGTCAGAGGGAGAAGCAGACTCCCTGCTGAGCAGGGAGCCTGATGCGGGACTCAATCCCGGGACTCCAGGATCATGACCTGAGCTGAAGGCAATCGCTTAACCAACTGAGCCACCCAGGCGCCCCTATGCCAACGATTTTTAATACTTCACCATAACCAGAGGGCCCAAGCTTATGGTAAGATTTGGATATTAAAATGGTGCTCTAAGGTGGGCACGTGATGTGATGAGCACTGGGTGTTATACGCAACTGATGAATCATTGAACACTACATCTAAAACTAAAAATGTACTATATGTTGGCTAATTGCATTTAAATTTTTTTTTAAAGATTTTATTTATTTATTTGACAGAGAGACACAGCGAGAGAGGGAACACAAGCAGGGGGAGTGGGAGAGGGAGAAGCAGGCTTCCCACTGAGCGGGGGAGTCCGATGCGGGGCTCGATCCCAGGACCCTGGGATCATGACCTGAGCCGAAGGCAGACGCTTAACGACTGAGCCACCCAGGCGCCCTGCATTTAAATTTTTAAAAAAATTATGCTCTAGTGAAGGACCCAGGAACACCAGAGTCCTATCCTCCATGGACCTCCTAAGGGCCACACAATCACAAATGGGACAATCACAAGTGTGCCTGACACCCCATTGCAAAGTGTATGGTAATATCAGTTTGGAAGTCAAGGGCTAAGTAGGGGCTTCAACCTAAATCCAGGTCTGATCTCTAGCCTTTGAGCCACTGGGCCTCCCCAGCATCCATGCATTACCTTCCTGGGCCTAGTTTAATAGGGACCCTGGCCCTCTTACCAAATGAAATAGAGGAAGCATGTACGGTTATTGTGCCTACTGGGAAATACCCAGCATTCACTGCCCTGGAATCTGACTGAACAGACCAGAATTTCTTCCTCTTGGGGAAGATAAAGAATTTTCTCTCCTCCTATAAAGAGGGAAAGAAGTGGGTTGCCACATGCCATTGCCAGCCTCCCGCATGATGCACTGTGATTACCTATGAAGACATGCTGTGTCCGCCCCCACCCCAACACCACACACGATGTGGTCCAGAATGTTGACCTGTGGTTGTTAACCAAGGTTGGGTGCTTATGCTGGAGCTCAGCCAAACTGCAATCATCTCAGAGTCTAGCAAATACAACACCTGTGTCACATGGGGTCCCCAAGCAGGTGAAGTGGCAGCCATAGCTTGTGTGCTAATCAAAGAATTAATAGTGGCCACAGCGCTTCCCATGATCATAGATGAGAATGTCCAAGGGCAATAAACACTTATTTACCCTGATGCACCATTAAAGGAATAAGTTCTAGCTGCATTTTCCTGATTGGGATCTCACTGGAAGGACCGCCAGTACATACTTTCCTCTTGAAGGGTCAAGTAGACAGAAACCCACATCAGATGGGATCTCACATATTTTGAGTTTCTTTTTTAATTGAATTATGTAAGATCTTAACTCTTTATCTGCAAAGCGAGAGGAATAAGCTATAAACATTTGCTAGAGATGGAAGTGAATCACTTTTGGGGGGCCATATTTTAAATCTGGACTGAGATTCTGCATCTTGTCTATTCCAGAGTACAAATTAAGTGTGAAGGAGGAAAAATCAGTGGGATGAAGTGCTGCCCTCCTCCTATTTATAGACTACAAAGAGGGGCCCCTGGGAGACAAGCAAACCTGCAGAGTGCAAAGTCTTGCCAGAAAAAGAAATGTACAATGATACCATCTCTGTAGGAAAGGAAAGACACCATGTTGACTCAAGAGTACATGACCCAATTCGCAGGGCCTGAGTCCACACCCCAAATGGCCTACCAGAACCAGGTACTAAACTTGTCTGAGCCTCAGTTTCATCATCTGTAAAATGAGGGTAATCACAACACATCAGTTGTGGGAGGCACATAACAGAAAACTGAGATAACCCCCTTAAACAAGAAGGGGGTTGTCCTCTCCATTAGAGGAAGAGCAGACAGCAGTCCACGGCTGACATGGCGGCTCCAGGACATCTCAGGGCCCCAGGCTCCTTCACACCAGGGCCAGGTTCACGGGCATGGGACCTGTGCTGCCTCATTGGGCCCTACGCCGAGAAGGGCCCAGCACTAGGGTTAACGCTCTGCTGCTGGCATTTTTTCATTATTAGTAACTGTTGAACAAGGGCCCCTCACTTTCATTTTGTGCTGCCCCCTGCAATTAGGTGGCTCATCTTATTCACACTTTGTGGCCTTCCATCATTTCCGTATGCAAGAACCTCCTCCTCCAGCCTTGACCTCCAAATTCC